CCTCATGTTCCCCCTAAGCCCCACCCTGCCCCTGCTTTAAGAGGGTTTCACTTGGGTTGTGGTCATGTGGTCCCTGTGGGGGTGAGTCATGGGTCCCATCGGCCGGGCGTGGCTCAAGGCTGACACTTTCTTTGCCAGCATTGCTTCTGAAAGGCAGTGACGGCCACTGGCATGGGCAGGGGCCTTCTCTATCCCCACCATGGGGACCCAGCGCAGGGCTGTTACAGCCGTGCAGGAGAGAGGTGTCCGTGTCCTCCATCCTGTCCCTGGGGTGGACACACTGCCTCGCTAGGTAGTGCTGCTTGCAGGGCACTGCTGGGCTAGGTTTGAGGGGTTATAGTAAGAGCCAGGCCACTGTCTAGGATGGGCCACACTTGGACGGGCAAGCTGTCCTGGCCCCGTGTCCAGCCTGGTACTCACAGACTCTCCTGGAGCCAAGGGCTTGGCAGTGACTGTGCCACAGGAGTGAGTGGGTTGCTGGTGAGTGCATGGTCCCTTCCCCAGGGCCTCCTGCTGGCCCTGAGCCACCTCCAGGGCAGCCCCGTCTTTCCCTCACCCTGCCTGTGGCCTGTGAGTAGCAGTTTTTGCCACCCCTGCCAAGGGTCTGCCCCAAGTGCTTGTGCCCGTGTCACCCACAGCCTCTCTCCTGCAGAAAGACCTACCTCAGTCACCGTGGGCCCCGGCTGACAGCCCCCAGCCTCCGAGGGACTCGGATGGCCCCTGCCCCCAGCAGCCTCCAGGTGAAGAGCAGGCCAAGGGCCCCCTGTCCACGGAGCAGCCCCCAGAACCATCTGCGTCGGAGGAGGAAGGGGCCGCCGGGCCTGCCCAGGAGCCCAGGAGTCGGGCCCCCAGCGCCCCAGAGTGTGTGGGCCAGGACCCAGCCTCGCCCAGCCCTACCACCCAGCCCGGGATCTCGGCCTAGGGAGGGGGCGGCCAAGCCCTCAAGGCCCCGCACGGCCATCTCCACCACACCACGATGCTGGGGCTGCTGGCGCCTGCAGGACACGCAGGACGGCCACCCCCGCCAGCCAGGCCCGCGCCGGCCCCGAACATGGTGCTCAGTCCCCGGCGGGGCCCGGTGGCCCTCCTGCCCTCGCCCGGCTGCACCTGGCCTCTCCAGCCCTCCTCTGTGTGCTTGGCCGCCTCAGCCCCTCCAGCTCCGCAGTCTTCCATCAGGTCCTCTTCCTGGTCGCTTGTGCCATCTGCTTGCGGCCGAGGCCACCGCATCTGGTGCTTCATCTGCCACTGCTTCCCTTTGGGGTTGTCCTCCCTGCGGGGTGCAGCTCCGGGCAGCAGAGGGACAGAGTACTGAGCAGCCACCACTGTCTGTGTGAGGTGGGCCAGGGCAGAGGGTACCCCGAGCCCCAGCTGCGTGGAGTGAGGCCAGCGGAGCTCAGGACTCCGACTGCAGTGGAGACTGGAGCCGGGGACCAGCAGAGGAGACCGTGGTCCTCCCGGGCCCGGAGCAGACCCCTAGCACCTCCCTCCTTTAATAAAGGGTCGCTGCTCTCTGAGTCTGGTGGTCACCGTGCGGCTCGGGTCTCCACTGCCCCCGGGGAGGGTCGGGCAGCAGGGACCACCGTGGGTCACCCAGCTCTGTCCCTGGCTGCAGCAGGCGAGAGCAGCCAAGGGCTTCTGGACCGAGGGAGGATGATCCTGAATCAGCCTTCTGTGCTCTACCTCACCCATGGGGTTCTCTGGGCCCCAGGACAGAGCTGCCTGTGTCGGGCTACCTCCTAGGCGTGGCGGTCCCCGGGGGATGCTGCATGTTGCTCCCAGATTCCAGGCGGCAGAGCCTGGCCTCCTGCACGGGGGTGGGGCCCCGCTCCTCGCAGCCTCCAGAACTGAGCTCAGACAGTGAAGGTGGCGCCCTCCACGCTGGGCCCCGCTCTGCGCGGACAGTGTTGAGAGCAGGCGGGACCGTCTTTACTGTACAGCGCCTCATCCCTGCAGCCGCTGCGGCCCACAGGGGCCTGGGAGTCTCCAGTGGAAAGGACGGAGGAGAGAAACGGGACAGTTCCCCTAAAATGCTGTGTTTCTTGGAAAGAACAGGTGACCTGGGGACAAGAGCAACGGGACCTTTCTCCCTGTGAATGCCAGGGATGGGACCCAGATGGCCGGGCGCCCTGCTTCTGCATCGGACTGCGTCTTCACTGAAGCCGCTTTCTACTCGGATGTGAGGGGTCTCCGTTTGTATGTTTTGCCTTGCTCCTGTTGGATCTGAAGAGTAAACATAGCTTTTGATATTTACTGCCTCCCTGAGATATGTGTGCAGTGGCAGGTGGAGGCTGCCCTGGCCCAGTGCAGGCAGAGCCACCACAGTGAGCTCTCAGCTCTGTGGCAGTGCTGGGGTGACGGTGCCATGCAGGGTCCTGGTTGAGGAGATTCCGGACCTGAAGGAAACCTAGCAGCTCATTTTCTTCCGAATGTCCCAGGGTCAGTTCCAGTAGTCACTCCATGGGCCAGGTGGGCTGTCACAACTGCTGTGCTGTTGTCACTCAAGAGCATCATAAGCCAGATTGATGTGGTAGCACACATCTGGCCCCCAGCACTCTGGGAGGCTGAGGCAGGAGGATCACAAGTTTCACCCCAGCCTGGGCAACTTAGCAAGACCCTGTCTCAAAAAATAAAAAGGACTGCAGATGTAGATCAGTGCAAGGTCTTAGGTTCCATCCCCAGGATAACAAAAAGAAAGTCACAGCTGAAACTAGAATTTCAGCATTTTCACATGTCAAAGTGCTTTGAGTGTTTAAGAAAATTAAAAATGTGAAGCTGGGAGCAGTGGTGCATGTCTGGGAGGCTGAGGCAGGAAGATTACAAGTTTGAGCCCAGACTGGGCAACTTAGCAAGACTATCTCAAGAGCAGACAAGTTAGGCAAGGTGGCACACACCTGTAATCCCAGCACTCGGGGAGGCTGAGGCAGGAAAATCACAGTTCAAGGCCAGCCTGAACTGCATAGCAAGACTCTGTCTCAAAAAGAAAAAAAGAGCAAAAAAAAAGGCAGAGTCTCCCTTAGTAGTCCAGGTATGCAGCCCAGGCTGGCCTCAAACTTCCAGCGATCCTCCTGCCTCAGCCTCCTGAGTGCTGGGATTGCAGGCCTGCACCACCACACCCAGCTCAACAAAGGCCTTTCTTCCCATCAGCCATGCAAAGACAGAGGAAGGCTTGGGTTTGGCCAGTAGGAACTGGGATGTTAAGGACAAGGCTTTGTGTGTGGGGACAGCAGGGCTGAGGACGTCTCGGGCTCCTGTGGACCAGGGCCTCTCATGGTCACTGGGTTCCACAGACCTTCCTGCATGCTGAGGAAAGGGGGTCTCTGATACGCCCTGGGACCAGAGAGGAGGGGCACCTGCAGGTGCTCAGGCCCCCATATGCGGCTCAGCAGAGTCACCTCCCTTCTGGAGGAAAAGCCCCACCCACGAGACACCAGAAATGACCCCCCCGGGCTGAGGACCCCACACTGCAAACCGAGGGGACCCATGGCAGGTGTGGTGTAACCGTGAGCTGTATCGGGCCATGAAAGCCAGTGTAGCTTCTTAGTTTGGCTTGGCAAGCCATCCACATGGCCGTTCGTGGCCTTGATCTGGGGGTTGCACAGAAAGTCTGGCAACCTGTTCTAAATGTCCTTCCCCGTATGCAAAGGATATCTGTGAAGAGGCGAGTGCTGGCTGAGCCCAGACCCTGGGTCTCAGGAAAACAGCCCTGGCTCACACAGGTCCACCCCCGGTCGCCATCGGTCTTTCTAAGTCACTCAGCCCATCCCAGTGTCCTCTGTAGGGGGGGCTGACCACGAGGTCACCTCTGGGCACAGTGTGAGACACCACAAGATCCAGGGCTTTGAGGCACTGCTGACATGGGCCTTCCTGATGCGTTCATGATGCACCTAGGGCCTCCAGACCAGTCAGGCGGCACTGGAGTCTTTGGGGTTCACCCGCCCTGTGACCCTGCGGCACAGCTGATGGGGGCAGTGCCTTCCCTGAGGGACCCTGGGGAGGGGCAGGGCCAGCAGAAAGGGAAGTAGGGGGCAGATCTGAGACAGATGTTTTAGTTAAAAAGTGAAACAGGGCCGGGGATGTAGCTCAGTGGTACCACCCCCTGCCTGGCAAGCGCAAGGTCTGGAGTTCAATCCTCGGTACCAAAAAAAAAAAAAAAAGTGAAACAATGCGTCAACCATAGGAATTTTTCTTTCAAATAGCTGACCAGAGCTTAAATATCTTTCATACACACATCCACCCATCCATCCATCTACTCACCATCCATCTATCCATCCACACATCCACCCACTCATTCATCCGTGCATCCGCCCATCACCTGTCCACCCCCAGTCTCCGTTAGCAACTGCTATATGTCAGACGCCCCAGTAGGGACTGGGGATACATACATCATGTGTGAGTCCCAAACCCATCTCTGCCCAAGGAAACTCAGCCTGGTGAGGAAGCACAGGACCCAGGATTGCAAGCTCAACTACATAGTGAGTTCAAGGCCAGCATGAACTGCACAATGACACCCTGCCTTGAACTCATTATAGAGCCCAGGCTGGCCTCGGACTCGAAGCAATCCTCCTGCCTCAGCCTCCCGAGTGCTGGGATGACAGGTGTGCGCCACTGCACAGGGTTTATAGTCTCAATTTTTGTGTGAAAATGTTCTAAAATGAAATGCTTGTTTACAAAAATAAGGTAGTTATTCACACACACACACACACACACACACACACACACACACACACACACACACACACCTTGGCCAGCTCTGTCCTCTGCTCCCTGGGGAGTTAGTCCTTGGGGTCCTCTGGCTCATCAATCCCTGGCCTCTGTCCAAAATCACCTGCCCTCACCTGGAGCGGGCGCCACCGCCTCCGGGCAGCTGCGGAGGGTGGGGTCACGTTTACTGGGGGAGGGGCTTCGCTGGGGGCCAGCGGGGCGAAAGGGAGGGAGGCGCCCCGCCCCGCCCCGCCCCGCCCCGTGCGCCCCGCTCCACCCTCCAGCCGCAGCTCCGGGTCCAAAGCGCGGGACCCAGGCGTCGGGAGCAGAGCAGGGTGAGTCGGGTCGTCGGCGGGGCTTGGCGACCCCTCTGGAGCAGGGGGTGTCCCTGCGCCGAGCCCCAGGGCTCTGTTCACGCGGCCAGGGTGTGCAGGACCACGTCAAGTGTGTAGATGTGGCCGCGCTGTGTAGACACAGCCAGGGTGTGTGGACCGGGTCAGACTGTGGTTTCGGCAGGGGTGTGTAAAGGTGGGGTGTGGACGCTGCCGGGGGGTATAGGCGGGGTTAGGGGTGGTAGTGGCAGCTGGAGTGGGCCGTAAGGACCCCCGCCTCATCCCCACCTGCAGCTTTCGGGTCTTTTCTACTCAGTCTGAGATGAACCTGGGAGTCTGTGATGCGGCTCCCCCCTTTCCTCTGCCATCCCGGCGGCCCTGGGGCTGGAGCGTCATCCTGAGGAGGATTTGGAGCATCGATCTGAGGAGGGTCGGATCAGAGAGCCTGAAATGAGGGGTCGTGTAGGCCATAGGGAGGGCTCTTGTGGTCTGTGCAATGTCACCAAGTTACTGAGTCGGACGGGAATCAGTTGCATTGCTGGTGAATTAGCTGAGGGACCCACACCCCAACACACAAGATCTGGGAGCCCAAGCCCTCAGCAGGACATACCTTCTTGTTCCCACTTTTAAATTAAAAAGATTTTTTTCCTTGATACTGGAGATTGAACCCAAGGCCTTCACACTGAGCTCCATCCCTAGCCCTTTTTAATTTTTATTTTGAGACAGGGTCTCAATAAGTCCCTGAATTACCCAGGCTGAACTCAGACTTGTGATCCTCCTGTCCCAGCCTCCCAGAGTGCTGGGGTCACAGGTGTGCAGCATCGCACCCCCCCCCCCACGTTACAGGGGTCCTGGACCCCACAGAGGAAAGAAAGTGTGGGGCCCAGGGCTTGCACGGGGCTTTGGGGACTCAGCGCTCGGGGAATAAACTTCATCTCCCATCCCTGGTCCCAGCCTGGAGAATAACTCACCACTAAGGGCCAGGAGGTTTTGTATGGAAGGGCTGCTGTAGGTGTGTATTGTGGGAGTGTGTGACTGTATGGTGGTCGCTATGAGATCATGTGTGGCTGAGTGTGTAGTGTGTGAGTGTGCCTGTGCCTGTGTCTGCATGGTTGGAGGCACTGTGTTTGTGTCCTGAGATGCTGTGGCCATGTGTGCTAGATCCTGGATGACCGTATGTGAGCTTTGGGGGGCTGTGTCGTGTGAGCATGAGGTTGTGATTTTGTGTGGATGGTGTGTGCGTGAACCCCTCTTCGCAGGCTCCCTGGGTTGTTGGGGGAGTCCTCTCCCCTCGGGACAATCTCACCGTGTGACAGTTGTCCCCACTTGGACAGGGACACGCACGTGTATGCGCCTCTGACCACGGTGTGTGAGTCCCCAAGCCCATGGAGCTCCGGGGCCCTGATCCTGTGCTCAGCAAGGATTTGTGTGATGCTCCCATGCAGATTTATTTTTGTTTCTTGAAGTGCTGAGGATGGAACCCAGGGCCTTCTCACTGAGCTCCATCTTCTGCCCCAGGTCACTGCAGGTTCGTTGCCAGCCTGGTCTATGTAGTGAGTTCAAGGCCAGGCTGAACTACATAGCAAGGCCCTGCTCCCCCCCCCCCCAAAGAAATGGAGCCCATCATTCTGCACAGCCTCCCCATCCTGTTGGATTATGGGAAGGGCTGGCCCACTGTCGGCATGCGCATCTCTGTCCTTCCCATGGGCTCCTCTGCCCCTCGGGCCCCTCCCAGCCATCCTTTCCCTATGAGAGACCCTGATTTGAGGAATTCTGCAGCATCAGCTGATACCTGCTCTTCTTTACACCTTACCTTTATTCATTAAAAAAAAAAAGACTTTGAGTTGAATGCAGGGGTATCCACCTGCCATCCCAGCTACTCAGGAAGCTGAGGCAGGAAGATCACAAGTTTGAAGCCATCCTGGGTAACTTAGCAAGAGAGCCTGTCTCAAAATAAAATTTAAAAGGGGCTGGGGATGTAGCTCAGTGGTTCCGACACCTGCCTCGAAAGCGAAAGGTCCTGAGTTCGATCCCTGGTACCAACAAAAAACAAAACCAAAAAATTAAATTAAATTTAAAAGGCTGGAGAAGTAGCTCAGTGGTGAGCGCTTGCCTAGCATGTGTGAGATCCTGGTTCCAGCCATCTCCAGCACCACGAAAATGAAAGAGTACAGAATCATTTTACTGCAGAGACAGCCGGGGGATGCTGACATCTCCCAGGAGCACAGCGCAGAGACTGAGCTAACCCAGGTGGGAATTCCCCAGTGACTACCGATTCCCTGCAAATGTGCTTGGCTCCCACCTTGCATTAAGGACCTGTGTTAATTTTCAATTCCATGGGTCTTGGGTGGTTGGAAGTCTATTTATTTTAACCTCCAAGTTTTTATCCATTTCCCTTAGCTCTCAGGTGTTTTTTTTCCCCCTCCTACACGATCAGCAACTCCTTTTTCCTTTGGGCACATTTGAAAGCTGGAAGAATCCGAGATATCATTGCTGCGAATAGTTCCCTCACAAACCCTCTTCCCATGCAAACTTAACAAAAAGTCCATAGACAAAGAGAAGAGGGGAGAAAAAGAGCCGCCTTATTAAATTTCCTGTAGCCGCGATGAGTGATTTATTTCATGAAGTTGGGGGGAGGTCTCCTGGCGAGACCTGGGCTGCCGAGAGGACAGGGAGAAAGAAGACAAGAGGGGACTGTCCCTTGAATGGGCTTTGGCTACAGTGGGACCGAAGAAGGGGAGACAGACAGGGTGGAAGTTTCCGGAAACCACGATCATCTCGGATTAGGTGAAAGAAAAACCCTATAAATGGAGAGTGGATAGGAGAGTTAAAGAATTAAGCAAGAAGGAGCAGAAACAATGTTCCGGGCTGGGGATTTAGCTCAGTGGTTTCGCCGCCTGCTGCGCAAGGGCAAGGACCCGAGTTCGCTCCCCGGTACCACACACACACACACACACACACGCGCACACACACAAAAATAATAATAATGTTCCAACTTGGAAGCAAAGCTGGGGTGAACGTTTGGGTTATTTATTTATTTGTGGTGTTGAGGATTGAACCCAGAGATGCATTCCCAACCCTTTTTATTTTGAGGCAGGGTCTCACTGAGTTGCCCGGGCTGGTCTCAACCTGGTGATCTTCCTGTCTCAGCCTCCTGAGGGGCCAGAATGACAGGCGGGCGCCATCTTCGCCCCTGAGGGACTCCCTTCAGTTTTGTCTCCAGGCTGTGGAGGCTCTGTGCCTGCAGCTCCCTCTGTCTTCTCTGAGAACCGACATTGGCAAGAACTAGGGGACCATTAAGGACATGTTGGCCCGAAACTGAAACTCCCTGCCATGGTCCACAGGCGGGAGCCAGACATTCTCCTGCCTCGTCCACAGCTAGGGCTCTGTTCATAGACCCCTCCTGCCTGTACCTTCCGGGAGCCTCAGGCTCGGTCCACACCCTTTGTGACCCACGGGCCAGCAAGAGGTCAACCAGATGACCCAGTTTCCAGGTTAAAACTGGACCAGCTTAGGGTCACCCAGGGCGATCTGTCGCCCCAAAACAGAGTGAATTGCTCTCTGTCACCCCATTGTTGCCGGTTGGGAAGAAGGTCATTTATCATTGTCTTTTTTTTTTTGAGGCAGAGTCTCACTATGTATGTATGTAGCCCCGCTGGCCTCAAACTCACGGCAATCCTCCTGCCTCAGCCTCCCAATGCTGGGGTGACAGACGTGCACCACCAGGCCCCACATATTCATTTTTCTTCTCTGCACCTCGGTGTACAGTTCAACTCTTCTGGAAGTTTCCACGATTGTCCTTGTAACCCAGGACCGAAGGGCTCTGTCATCCTCTCTCTTGTTTTCCAGCCGCACATTCATCCTTCAGATGCATCTGAGGGAGTCTCATGTATCTCTCCAGTCGGGGGAATTTCTCCTCCTGTGTGGCCATAAGAGAGAGAAACCTTCCCTCCTCTCAGGGTCACTCGCTGAGCTCAGGGTCATCCTGCCATCCAGTGACGGCCTTACTGCTTTTAATCGGTGATCTTCCCCCGACGCCTCGCCGCGGCTTCTGCATTTCAATTCCCTCCACCCCTGGTCTTTGCAAAACAAGAATAATAAAACAAATCCTAGAAGTTATTCTGTAGCCTGAGATTATCAATTCAAAGGATCTCCTAGAACCTTCCCTGCCTCTGCCTCTCTCTGAAGTAAAATGCCCGCTTCCCCGAGACAGGCTGTCTCCGTCAGTCCCAGGTGACAAGGATGTGACTCCCCACACAGGCAGAGTTGTGTTTTGGTCTTCTCAGCACTAAATAATTTTTTTATTGTTTTTTTTTTTTTTTTTTTTGGTACCAGGGATCGAACTTGGGTCCTTGCACTTGCACAGCAGGCAGCAAAACCACTGAGCTAAATCCCTGGCCCATTTTATTGTTTTTTTGAGACAGGGTCTCCTTATGTAGCCCACGCTGGCCTCAAACTCACAGTGATCCTCCTGCCTCAGCCTCCTGAGTGCTGGGATGACAGGCATGCGCCACTATGCTCAGCTAAATAATTAGTTTTGATTCATTTTTTTAAAAACCCTTAATGAACTTTATGTCTTGGTAGACACGTGCTGCAAATTAGAAGTAGAAGTGTTCTGGAAAAGTTAGGTTTTGTACTGCCATCATTATACTTGAGAACCAGCACACAGTAAATCTGACTTTCAGTTTCTTTTCCTGTTGCCCGGTATGCTGCATTCCTACTTTGGAATTTCTAGTCAACTTTTTTGCAAAGCTGATAAGCACTCTGCTGATTTATTCTTTGCAAAAATTACCATGTTTTCACTCAACCAATGGATGCTTTTTTTTTTTGCACCATTTACGAAGTTACTTTGCAGGAAGATTTGTACTGGGGATGGAACCCAGGGCCTTCACACTGAGCTACATCTCCAGTCTTTTATTTTATTTTATTTTATTTTATTTTATTTTTTGAGACAAGGTCTCACTGAGTTGCTAAGTTGTCCAGGCTGGGCTCAAAGTTGGGATTTTCCTGCCTCAGCCTCCCAGAGTGCTGTGATCTCGATGTGCACCACCATCCCTGGTTGTACATAGGCCTTCTGGTGGCCAGCATTCCTTCCACCTGACCTGCAAGGAGAGCGGGGGAAGGGCAGTGCCCATGTTCAAGGAGGCAGGGCTGCTCCTCCCAAGGCTCAGGGAGAGCCCTGGTCCCAATCCCGGCTTCTAGAGGCTCCGCAGCCCTCGGCTCTCGGCCTGTCCTCCATCTCAGAGCCAGCAGTGAGGTGTTTTCAGCCTCTCTCCACCTCTCACCCTCCCGAGCCCTCTCAGGGAAACCCTGGGGGACACTGGGCCCCGGGTGGTCAGGATGACCCCTTCTTGGGGTCCTCCACGTGACCCATCTGGAGAGTCCCTTCTGCCACGGAGGTGACATGGCCACAGGCTTGGGGGGGGTTGGACACGGACATCTTTGGGGGCCCATTAATTAGCCAGCCACGGGCTGCAAGCAAAGTGCCATTTCCAGGAAGTGCGGAGAGGGGAGAAGGGAGAGGGGAGAGGGGAGAAGGGAGAGGGGAGAAGGGAGAGGGGAGGGGAGGGGTAGAAGGTTGTGACTTGTCACGCCGCCAGCCGAGTTCCGAGCTCTGCTGGTTCACAGGGAGCCCAGCTGGGGGCGCCCTCTCCGGCCAAGCCCGAAGTTGGCTCTCCCTAGCCTCCTCCAGGCCCGCTGGGGTCGGGTGGGGACAGCAAGGCGCTGGCGCGCGCCTGCGAAGTCACTGGGCCCTGAGCTCCAGGGTCGTCTCCGCCGGCTCCTCCAGGTTCCCTCGCTTGATCGCGGTCATCGATACTGGCTCTTGGCGCTCCCTGCGCCGAGACTTGAGGGCGGAAAGGGCCCAGGTGTCCCACGGTTTGGGGCCTGTCCCACCCCGCCTCTCCTGCCAGCTCTCCTCGTGTTTCAGGCCCTGGCGTGTGTCACTCCCTCTTCTAATTATTTTCCCCTCTTTTTGATTGTGGTAACAGGCACATAACATAAAATTCCATCTTACTCATTATTTTACCGCTTTATTTTGTTTGTTTGTTTCTTTTCTTTTTTTTTTGGTACCGGAGATCGAACTCAGGTCCTTGTGCTTGCAGGGCAGGAGAGGGCACCACTGAGCTAAATCCCCGGTTTACCACTTTATTTTGTGACAGGGTCTCGTTAAGGCACTAAATTGCCCAGGCTGACTTCAAACTTGTGATCCTCCTGCCCCAGCCTCTCAGAGTGCTGGAGCTAATTTCTCTTTTCTCTCTCTCTTTTTTTTTTTGTACAGGGGATTGAACTTGGGTCCTTGCGCTTGCGCAGCAGGCGACGAAACCACTGAGCTAAATCCCGGGCCCTGGAGCTAATTTCTCTTAATCTTGCTTCTCTTCTATTTTCTCTATGCTCTCCCAGAACTCCCAAGAGACAGAGTGGGGCCTCCCATTCCTGCTGTCTCCCATATCTATTCCATCTCTCCAAGTTCTTCTGTCTCTGTACTTTGCAGATTCTGAGTAATAGATCTTCAGTTATTAATTCTTTCTCCATTTGTGTTCAGTCTCTTGTTAAGCTCATAGATTGACAATTTATGTTGATTACTATAATTTTCATTTCTAGATGTTCTTTTTTAAAGAAATTTCTGCCCTTTTTTTCATGGTGCCATCCTGAATATTTTCAATTACTTTGTGTCTATGAGAACTTGAACCACACTTGCTGGACATGGTGCTGCACACCTGTAATCCCAGCACTCGGGAGGCTGAGGCAGGAGGATCACTCCTGCAAGTTTGAGACCAGCTTGGGCTTCATAGTGAGTTCAAGGCCAGCCTGAACTAAACAGTGAGACTCTGTCTCAACAGACAAACAAAAAATCCAAGCCCTTTTCACAAACTCAAAGCCCCCTGGCTCTCTTCCGGTAGGGAATCCTTGTAGCAGTGGGATTTCTTTTCTTTCTTTCTTTTCTTTTTGGTACTGGGGATTGAACTCGGGTCCTTGCGCTTGTGCAGCAGGCAATGAAACCACTGAGCTAAGTCCCCGGCCCGTAGCAGTGGAATTTCAATGTGCGTGGGTCTCTCCTGCTCAGGTCTCAGCTCAGTGAAGCATCTCCCTGGTCAGGGCCGTGTCCTCTGCACCATGCAGCCAGAGACAGAGCAGATGAGTGAGGCTGGATGAATGGAGCATCTATACTCGAGCTCAATGGCAGCAGGATCCTTTCTGTGACTAGTGATAGTGATGACAAGACACTTTTGAGCCTGGTGGGGTGCAGGTAGCAAGGCTGGGGCTGAATGGGCGCAGTGTGTGTGCTGGGCACTGTGAGCTCGAACACGGAACCTCAGGGCCAGCCTGAGGCACAGAGTGGTGCTCAGGGTCTTTTGTCCTCGAAATTTTTCATCAAGGGATTCTTAAGACATCTCCCAGCTCCTCCGAAGGTGAGGAGGAACTTTGAAGTAGAGGAATAAAGGGTGAGGGCTGGGATGTCTGGGCTCCCCCCACCCCTGCCAGAGTTAGTTACAAACACACAGACTGCTCAGATGCATTTACATTTCATTTTTTATTTATTTTGGTTTTGTTTTTTTGAGATAAGGTTTTGCTATGTAGGCCACACTGGCTTCAAACTGGTGGCAATCCTCCTGCCTCAGCCTCCTGAGTGCTGGGATAACAGGCGTGTGCCACCACACCTGGTGTTCAGAACAGGGAAAGGGGACATTACTAGAACCTCTGCAGTGAGTCCTGGTCTCCTGTGAGCCACGGCAGCACACGGCGAATTACAGGAAAGGTAGGAAAATGAGACTGAGAAGAAGCCGAGCTTTAGGTCTGATCAGTGCTGCTCTGGGCAGCAAAGACAAAAGCCCCCAGTTTACCGCACCTTTTATTTAGTACTCAGTACATCGGGAGAAACAAATGTAACAAATGACTTGCAGAGAGTTCAGTACATCCGTGTAAACAAGATGGTCACAGTCCAAGAACAATGAGGAACTAAGTAGATGTTTGTTCCTCCCAGGGTGTATTCCGCTCTCAGGATGTTTCTTGTCCTGGAGAATCACAGACAGCATCACCGGGTCATTGAGGTCTCAGTTGTGACCGGAGGCCAAAATGGAATTATGTCTTGGAATTCCATAGCTGGGCTGTAGGCAGGAGAACTAGGCTAACCAAATGATTTTTCCCTAAAATTATATAGCATTGCTCCCGACAACCTGGCTTGCATTTCAGGAAAACAACAAAAACTTCTTGTATAAGTATGTCCCAAATATTGCAAAACAGAAGCATTCATACTAAAATACATACTGGGGACAAGGGTCTCCAGAGAACAGAGGCAGTTGAATACACACACACACACACACACACACACACACACACACACACACTCTCTCTCTCTCTCTCTCTCTCTCTCTCTGTCTCTCTCTGTCTCTCTCTCTCTCACAGTCCTCCCTTGGTATCTGTGGGGACTTGGTTCTAGGACCCCCTCAGATGCCAAAATCAGCCGATGCTTGATGCTCATGTCACAAAAATGTCATAATAACCAGGCATTGTGGCTCACACCTGTCATCCCTGCACTCTGAAGGCTGAGGCAGGAAGATTGCAAGCTCAAGCCCAGCCTGGGCAACCAAGTAACTTAGTGAGACCCTGATTCAAAATTTAAAAAATTTAAAAGGGCTGGGGATGGAGCTCCGTGCAAAGGCCTTGGGTTCATTTCCCAGCACTGACAATCTAGACAGCATAGCAAGACCTTCTCTCAACCTAGGAAAAGGAAAAGGGCTGAGCATGAGGGTCTGTGGTGCGTGCTCGCTCAGTGTATACATGGCACAAACAAACACAGCTACGTCCCAATCCTGGGGACCTGCAGCCACGCTACCACCTCCTGTGGCAGAAGGGACTCTGCAGATGGGGTCCCGTGAAGGACTCTGAGAGGGGGCCATCGTGACACGCAGGACCCGGTGGCCCCAGAGTCTCCCTGAGCGGGTGCGGGAGGGTGAGAGGCAGAGAGAGGCTGAAGACACCACGCTGCCAGCTCTGCAGATGAGGATGGGGCCTCAAGCCAAGAGCTGCGGGCGCCTCCAGGAGCTGGGACAGTGATTTCTGGAACTGTAAGATAAAATACCTGTGTTCCTTTGAGCCATCAAGCTGTCACAGCAGCTATAAGAAACACAGTTCTGTCCATAAGTGGACCCCAGGCAGCTGTGTGGAGATGGGGAGCAACAGAGAGATGTCCTTTTCTAGCCCAGGCAATCCTCCTGCCTCAGCTTCCTGACTGCTGGGATGACAGGCATGCACCACCACGCCTGGCTGTGAAATCCATTTTTCCAGGAGCGTCACAGCTCTGAGCTCTGACCCCGTCTGTCCCTTGTTTTCTGCCATCTAGGTCACCGTCCTCGTGTCTCAGAGCCATGCACCCCTCTGCAGCTGACTTGCAGCTTGTTCCCAGGGCCGCAAAGCGAGTCCCCGCCTCAGACTGCATGTGTGGTCGCGGGGCCATCACCGCAGTGGTGGCCTCCAGCATGATCGTCCTTGCCCTGGGAGTTCTTTTGGGTAAGTGGCTGTGGGATCCACTGGGTGCACAAGGTCAGGCGACTGGGGTAAGGATGCTCATGTGGCCTGGTGTTGTCCTCCATCATCCCAGAATCACAGACAAGGCTGAACTGCAGGCTCAGCCTTCAGGCCACTGAAGAGAGGAGGGACAGCTTAGACACCTGGAACCCAGAGATGGACAGGGAGCCAGGGGATTCGTCCATTTCTGCTTTCCCAGCGGAAGGAGTTCAGGGAGGGGATTTTTCCTACCAGGTTGAAATGGAGATAAACAGATACAGTGACACAAAATTGTTTTAAATCTTGAGAAATTTGAAAAAGTACCAAAAACCATTAAAAAAATGAGTGACCACAACTGGGTGAGATAGTGCGCACCTGTCATCTGGGAGGCTGAGGCAGGAGGATCACCAGTTTGAGACCAGCTGGGGCAACTCAGTGACTTAGGATGACCAGGTCTCAAGATACAAGGTAGAAGGAAAAAAAAAAAGTAGAAGGCTGGGGATGCAGCTAAGTGTGAAGGCCCCCCTGGGTTCAGTCCCCAGCACTGGGCGGGGTGGGGGTGGACAAATTAAAAGGAAAGAGCTCGTGTCCCACAAGAGCACAAGGGCGGAGGGAACAAAGCATACTCCAGAAGGCTCTGTAGAGCACCCTTCATGCAGCACACAGGCAAACACAGTGCTGCTTTTTCCTTTTTGCTATGCTGGGGTTGGAGCCCAGGGCCTGCTGCACATGAGGCAAGCACTCACCACTGACCTGCAACCTCAGCCCTCTTTTCAAAAATTTTTCTTAGATATTTTATTTTGAGTCAGGGTCTTGCTAAGTTCCTCGGGCTCTATTTGTATGTGTGATCCTCCTGCCTCTGCCTCCCAGGTAGCGGTGATGACAGGTGTGCACAACTGTGTCTAGTTGGTTTTATATATTTTATTCAAATGCAAACTTTTGGAGAAATCAAACCCTGCCAAAGGGTATATATATATATATATATATATATGTCAGTCAATACAAGTTTGCCCAGCTCCTATGGCTCAGGATTCTTTCTCTGGCCCCAGAGACAACCAATTAATTAGACTCTGAAATTTCCTCCCGGAAAATGATTTATGGAAAATAATTTACCTAGGCAGAATAATGTACCTGGACACTTGCTTACCCACTATTCTGGGGCCTTCTCCTGCCCATCTTTTTGGAGTAATGGGGTCCAAACTCAGTTCTCTGCTGTTTGTAAACTTAGGTATTGTGCAGATCCATCTATTTAAATATGAAAGCATGTCTTTTATTTATGTTTACACATTGTACAGAAGCTTCAGAATCCCATGTGTTTATTTTTGTTTGTTTTGTTTCTTTGAGACAGGGTCTTTGAGACAAGATTCAAGCTGGCCTTGAACTCACTATGAGTCCAGGCTGGCCTCAAACTCACAGTGATCCTCCTGCCTCAGCCTCCCGAGTGCGGGATTACGGGTGTGGGCCACCTCACCCCACTTGGGTGTTTTATCTTATATAATATGGAGGCAATGGTACCAAAAAAACCCCCAAAAGCCAGAAAATAGGGCTGGGTGCGGCTCAGTGGTGAGTACTTATCTAGCCTGTGTGAGGCTCTGGGTCCATTTCAGCACCACAAAAATAAAATTAAAAAAAAAAAAGGAAAACAAATATGAAACTTGTCTACTTGTGGGTTATGGATGTGGGTGGTGGGAGTATAAGTAATTGCTCTTTTTTCCTTTTCTTTTTTCTTTTTTCCTTATCCGGGTGGAACCCAGAACCTTCACACTGAACTACATCCTAGCCCATTTTAATTTATATTTTGAGACAAGGTGTCCCTAAGTCACTAGGCTGTGATCCTCCTGCCTCAAGCTCCCAGAGTGCTGGACAACAGGTGAGCACTCCTGGGTCTGGATCTTAAATTGTTATATTTTAAATGTTTGTCTGAGAAGTTTCTGGATCATCCCGCAGCCAGACTCGTTTGACTGAGGCCCTCTTGTGGCAGTGTGTGTGAAATACAAGTGTCGGCAAGTGAGTGCATGTGTTTGCACCGGCGGGCGAGGGCCTGTTTCACACTTGCATTCTAGAAGCACAGCACAGTTTGGGAACAACGGGTAAATATAACCCCAGCCGGTCCCCCCTGAAGGCACAGAAAGGAACTAGAAAGCAGTTGAAATTTAAAAAATATTTTTGCCAGGTATTGTGGCGCACACCTGTCATCCCAGCTACTCCAGACGCTGAGGCAGGAGGATCTCAAGTTCGAGCCCACACTGGGCAATTTAGCAAAGTAGCAAGACTCTGTTTTAAAATAAGAAATACAGCCAGGTGTGGTGGCGCAGGCTTGCAATCCCAGTACTCGTGAGGCTGAGGCAGGAGGATTACTGTGAGTTCAAGGCCAGCCTGAGACTCTGTCTCAAATAACCGAAAAAGGGGGGGGGGGAGCTGAGTTTGGAGCCCAGTGCGAAGGCCCTGGGTTCAATACCCAGTCGGGCCATTGCACCTGCATGTGAGTCCACAGCATGTGTGGGAAGGAGTCTGGTGGCCGCGGAGGGGCTCTCACGGGGCTGGTGTCGCCCCCAGCCCTCCTCTCTACGCAGGGCGTCCAGGTGGAGCACAACGCTGAACTCCGCGGAATCCGCTTCTCCGGCGCGCTGCAGCGCGACACCTCGGACTATCACCTCGCGCTCACCGCCGCGCTGGAGAGGCTGGTGGGCCCCGCCTGTGGGGGGGACAGGGTGGAGCCCAGGGCCTGGGGCGTGGCGGGGTCTGGGGGCATGGTTTGTCTCTGGGGCGTGGCCGGTTGGAGGCCTCGCATTACTGCGCAGATGCAGGCGGGGCCCGGGGGCGTGGCCGGGATCTGGGGTGTGGCCGGGGCAAAGGCACACAGGAACAGTAGTTCCAGTTGGAAACAGAGTCACCCAGAACTTGGGGCCACGTTGACAGAGCTGTCCTACGAGCAGATGGGGTGCAAGCTGGAGCAGATGCTCTGGAGAACAGGCCGGCGGCACTTTCATAATGTAAATGTGAGCTGGGTGTGGTGGCGGACGCCTGTCATCCCAGCACTCGGGACGGCTGAGGCAGGAGGGTCACAAGTTTGAGCCCAGCCTGGGCAATTTAGCAAATTAGTGAGATGACTTAGCAAGAAGCTTCTTTAGCAAGACTAAAGGAGTTTTAGGAGGTAGCATGGATAGGCACCGCGTCATATGTCATCTGTGTTTTGCCTGTCCTGGGCATTTGCTGTCCATGGAGCCCATGCTGTGTCCTCTGTGTCTGGCGGCTCACTGAGCACGGGGTCCTCAAGGCCTTTCCACGCGGTGGCGAGTGTCACAGCCACATTCCTCTCCTGGCTGAGTAATATTCAAGTGTGGGGATAACCTTGCTCTGTGTCCATTCATCCATCTGTGAACACTGGGCTGTTTCCACCCTTGAGCTGTTGTGGACATGGGTGTGCACCTCCCTGAGAGTCTGCTTTTAGCTCTTCAGGTTATAACCCAGAAGTGGGGTTCATTCCTTTTCGTAGCTCAGTAATATTCCACTGTCTGGATGGGCAACGCTGTGTTTATCCCTTGATGGAAAAAAAATTTTTTTTTCATTTTAAGACTGTCTTGGGGCCGGGGATTTAGCTCAGCGTTTCCGCCACCTGCCTCGCAAGCATAAGGTCCCAAGTGTGATCACCAGGACCAAAAAAAAAAAGACAGGGCCAGGGATTTAGTTTAGTGGTTCCGTCACCTGCCTCGCAAGCGCAAGGACCTGAGTTCGATCCCTGGTACCAAAAAAAAAAAAGACAGTGTCTGTCTAAGTCACTAAGTTTTCCAGTCTGGTTTCAAACTTGTGATCCTCCTCCCTTAGCCTCCCAGATTGCTGAGATAACAGGCTTGCATTACCATGCTCGACTGGAGGAATATTTTTATATGAATAACTTTAAAACATCTCTGTCTTGTCTTGTTCACGGTTCTGTGAACTCACTGGATTTACTGAGTTTTAGAAGGTGATGCTTTCTGTAGAGCCTACTCTGTGTCCAGGTCCCTCAAGTGCAAGATAGGCCTCTGCCCTCATGGCAGGAGCTGTGCTGTGGGGCTCATCATTTACTGGTATTATCTCTGTTGTAGTTTCTAAGTAGTTTCCAGAAGACGGAGTTAGAAACAAGCTGCGTGGGCTGCACAGTTCTCAGTTACAGGTGAGTTGGGGTTCTGTGCAGGTGAAGGAAACTTGATCAACATCACAGAGATGTCAGAAGATTCCAGAGGCTTCTATAAGTTTCTGGAAGATTCTAGAAGGTTGCAGCAGAGTGGAGCCCTTCCATCTTCAAGGGGCTCTCCTCCTATCTATAGGGAAGGGAATTCTAGCGTCCTGGTGCATTTCCGGCTGCACTTTCTGCTTCGAGCCCTCCAGTCACTGAGTCTGGACCTGGAGGAGGAATTATTACAGCAGGGCATCCGGGAGAAGCTTCGAGAAAGCAGCATCTCGATGGCTGCCTATGGCACCATTGTGTCGGCTGAGCTCACAGGTGAGTGGGTGGGAGAGACTCTTCGGGGACTGAGGGTGAGCACCATCTCATCTCAGATTGCATTAAAAATCGTTTTTTCAGATACTTTGTCCACACCTGCAAATTCAGCTACTTAGGAGGCTGGGGCAGGAAGATTGAAACTTAGAGCCCAGGGCCGGAGGGGAGGAGGGATTTAGCTCAGTGGTTCCACTGCCTGGCTCACAAGTGCAAGGTCCCAAGTTCGATCCCCGGTACCAACAACAACAACAAAAAAAATGAAAGAAAGAAAGTTAGAGCCCAGCCTAATGACTTAGCAACTTAGTGAGACCCTGTCTCAAAATAAATAAAAAGGGCCAGGGATGGAGCTCAGTGTGAAGGCCTTGGGTTCAATGCCTAGTACTGACAAAAGAAAAAAGAAAAGTTTCTGTTCAAGTAACTCTCACTTTATTTAATAATGCCCAAAAGCCGGGGATTTAGCTTAGTGGTTTCGCAGCCTGCTGCACATGCGCAAGGACCCGAGTTTGATCCCCGGTACCAAAAAAAAAAATAAATTAAAAAAATAATAATGCCCAAAAGCACAAGAGTAGTGATACTGGAAAACTTTTTACAGCATTTGTTATAATTGTTCTATTTTATATTTTGGAGTACTGCGATGGAACCCAGGCCCTCACATGTCAGGCAGGTGCTTGCCACACCCCAGTCCTGTGCTATTTTATTATTAATTCTTATTACCCCCCCCGCTGTGCCTAATTAATGAATTATACTTCACCTACAGTGCACATAAAATTTGTAACTGTCTTTAGTTTCAGGTACCCACTGGGGGTCTTGGAAGGCATGTCCTGCAGATAAGGGGGCCCTGAACAGGAAAGAATGAGTGTGGCCATGTGTCACTAAAACTTTATTGGCAAAACAAACAATGGCCCATGTGTCAATAAAACTTTATTGGGAACAGGGGCTGGGGATTTAGTTCAGTGGTTTCGCCGCCTGCTGCACAAGCGCAAGGACTTGAGTTTAATCCAGGTACAAAAAAACCCAACAAAAACAACTTTATTGGGAACAATAACCAGTGAGCTGTATTTGACCCACAACCATCAATTACCATCCTCTGTCACAGAAGTGAGCAAATGCTACTCTCTACAATTACAAGATGCACCAGGCGTGGTGGCGCACACTTATACTTCTAGCACTCAAGAGGCTGAGGCAGGAAGATCATGAGTTTGAGGCCAGCCTGGGCTACATAGTGAGTTGAAGACCATCTTGGATTACATAGACTCTGACTCAAAATAAAACAAAAACAACCCCCCCCAAACCAAATAAATAAATAATTAAAGTTGAATGGTACAATAATTGGAGTCCAGACTTAAAGATTTGTCACTTTACCCATGCTATAAGCCCCATGTGTTTGTCAAGCCTGATGTGTGGCCGGTGTGGTCAGGGAACAGAGTGCTTCATTTGATTTCATCTGAATTTCTTTGAAGTGGGTGGCTTGAGATAGGATATTGCTATGTGGTCCAGGCTGGGCTCGAATTTGAGATCCTCCTGCTCAGCCTCCGGAGGAGCTGGGATGACAGGTGTTGGCCACTGAGCCTGGCTTTGATCCTGTCTGACTTCAGCTGGGGTTTAGGTAGCCCTTGGGTGGGCAGTGCACCTCCCCACCTTCCTCTGTTGCTGTCCCGGGTTAAAGGTCACCAGGGCCCCCCTTGGTGAGGCCTGTCTCCTCCATTCTGCATAGGAAGCCAGAAGGGACCGGGGATCGACAGGGACCTAAAGTCAGGTAGGGTTCTCTCTGTGGTGTGAGTGAGCATCAGGTGTGGCCAGGTCCCCCAGGGCCAGGTGTTGCCTGAAAACTTCTTTCCAGAGAATTGAGGGTGTCCAGGGCTGGGGGTGACTTTGGGACAGTGTTGTTGGGCTGTGATTTATTTATTTGTTTACTTACTATTATTTGCAGTGCTAGGGGTGGAACCCAGGGCTTTGCATGCCAGGAAAGTTGCTCAGATTGGCCCCTCGCCCTGCAGCACCAGGAGACAAGGTGGCTATCCGGCCTCTTCTCTGTCCTCAGGCCGCTGTCCCGAGGGCTCCTTCTCCTGCCGCAATAGCCAGTGTGTAACCAAAGCGAACCCGGAGTGTGATGACTGGGCCGACTGCTCGGATGGCTCGGACGAGGAGCTCTGTGGTCAGTTGGTGCCCGGTGCCTGGTGGGGCTCGAGCCTGGGGTTTCCTGGAGCTGGGTGGAGGGACAGGAGGGGAAACTGGGAAGGGGACAGATGTGTTCAGGAGTGTGGGGTACAGAATCCCTGGGTGATTTCAGAACAGAAATCAGGCTGCAAAGGTCGGTTCAGGCCAGAGCTGGATGTGGGGGTTCATACCTGAAATGCTAGCACTAAGGAGGCAGAGGCAGGAGAATCTCAGCAAATCAAGGTCACCCTGGGCTACATCGTAAAACCCTGTCTCAAAAAAAAAACAAACAAAAAACCAAAACCAAAAAGAATTTTGAAACTTGCCAAATTTACAGTAAATAGGGGCTGGAGATTTAGCTCAGTGGAGCCCTGCCTCGAAAGCACAAGGTCCTGAGTTCAATCCCCAGTACTGGAAAAAAAAAGTCTACAGTAAGTAGATGTGTAGTTTGGTGCTTGGACAGATAGGGTGATGGTTCAGGGAAGGGGACAGTGTCCTTAAATTATGGACACTGATTGGGGGGGTCCCTAAGACCACCCTTGGGCCAGTGACCGCAGAGAGCTCTTATGCTTGTGGCTAAAGGTTCTTTGTTTTTGCTTTAGTTTTTCTGGTACTGGGGCTTGAACCCAGGGCCTTCACAGAGTGCCATCCCCAGCCCTTTTTATTCCTTATTTTGAGTCAGGGTCTCTGTAAGTCACGAAGTTGTCTGGGCGGGGCTGGAACTTGGGGATCCTCCTGTCTCAGCCTCCCAGAGTCCTGGGAAGTTAGGCATGTGTTCGGGGACTTGAGGTGGATGGGGGGAGTGGGGGTCCTTGCGGGTGATGCCGTGTCTTGCAGACTGTGGCCTGCGGCCAGCCTGGAGGGCTGCGGGCCGGATCGTGGGCGGTGCGGAGGCAGCTCCGGGCGAGTTCCCCTGGCAGGTCAGCCTGCGTGAGCACAGCGAACACTTCTGTGGGGCCACCGTCGTGGGCGCCCGGTGGCTGGTGTCTGCCGCCCACTGCTTCAACGAGTGAGTCCCGCCGGGCCTGGCTGGCTGGGCCTCAGCCCGCCCTCCACCTTTGTTCACCTTCCCCTGGTTTCCTGAGGAATGCCTCCCTCTCTCCCTCTCTCCTTCTTTGCATTGCTGGAGATTGAACCCAGAGCCTTCACACCGAAGAACATCCCTAGTCCTTTTTTAAAATTTATTTTGAGGGCCAGGGATTTAGCTCAGTGGTTTCGCTGCCTGCTGCACAAGCTCAAGGACCCGAGTTCGATCCCTGGTACCCACCCCCCAAATAAATAAGTAAAAAAAATAAAATTTATTTTGAGACAGTGCCTCACTCAATTGCCCAGGCCTGGCTTAAGAAAATTGAGATCCTCCTGTCTCAGCCTCCGGAGCGCTGGGAGGGCAGGCGTGCGCACCACGCCCACCCGATGCCCTGTTAAATAGTGTGCCCAGGTCCTGCACCTCAGGCCCTTGCCCGGATCCCAGCTCTTGTCCGCGTCGCTGGCCCTGCGGGCGCCCCTCGCCTCTGGCCCTCTGGCCCCCGCCGCCCCCTGAGCTGCTGCGTCCTGCAGGTTCCAGGACCCCGCCGAGTGGGAGGCGCACGCGGGCTCCACGGTGCTGAGCGGCTTGGAGGCCGGTGCGGTACGCATGCGCGTGGCGCGCATCGCCAGGCACCCGCTGTACAACGCGGACACCGCTGACTTCGACGCGGCAGTGCTGGAGCTGGCGCGTCCCCTGCCCCTTGGCCGCCACATCCAGCCCGCCTGCCTCCCGGCCGCCTCTCACGCCTTCCCGCCTGGCAGCAAGTGCCTCATCTCGGGCTGGGGCTACCTCAAGGAGGACGTCCGTGAGCTGCGGGCCGCCCCGGTGCCAGGGGAAGGGAGGAGCCGAGGGGAACGCTGGGGCCCCCTCGCGACTCTGCGTTTGCGAACTCGCCACTCGCTGACTCATTCATTCATTTATTCATTCATTCATTTTTCTTTTACGGTGCTGGGGATGCTGCGCCCTGAGCTACATTCCCAGCCCATTTTTATTTATTTCGAGACAGGGTCTCACTGAGTCACTAAGCTGCCCAGACTGGGTTTGAACTTGTGATCGTCCTGCCCTCAGCCCCTCAGAGTGCTGGGATTATAGGTGTGCACCACCATGATAGCTTTGCTATCATTTACGTGTTACCCAGAATTGGTACTTGTGAGATTTTTGTAGTCATTCACAGAAACTCGTGGAAAGGTGTTGAATTTGGTGGCCTGAGGCACCTGTCCCCAGCAGAGGTGGCACAAGACCACCGTGTACATTCTTGTTATAGCTCATCGAGGACACATGTCCTTTATGTGGTGTGTAGGACGGATTTCCGTCACTATAACAAAGTACCTGAGGTCATCCATCACTTTATAAAGAGCATAGGTTTAGCTGGGTGTGGTGGTGCATGCCTGTCACCACCCCAGCACTCTGGGAGGCTAAGGCAGGAGGATCACAAATTCAGATCCATCCCGGGCAATTTAGGGACTTAGGGAGACCCTGTCTCAAACAATAAAAAGGCCTGAGGATGTAGCTTAGTGCAAAGGCCCTGGGTTCAATCCCCAGTCCCCAAAAAACAACAAAAAACCCGGGATTTAGCTCAGTGGTTCTGCCACCTGCCTCGCAAATGCAAGGTCCTGAGTTCAATCCTGGTACTAAACCCAAAAAACAAAAACCAACAAAACAGCATAAAATAGGGTTATGTATTGAGTGGGCGATGAAAGTAGGCTCAGTCTAGGAAGGAAACCAACACAGAGTTGCAGGATAAATGACTTGTGGGCAGCAGCTTTAAGAAAAGGGTTCTGTGCCAGATTTGGTGGTGCACACCTGTGATACCAGCCCTTGCGGGGGGCCAAGGCAGGAGGATCACCGTGAGTTCAAGGCCAGCCTGGGCTACGTAGTGAGTTGAAGAGCAGCCTGAATTACATAGTGAGACCCTGTCAAAAAAAAGGGAGGGAGGTTCTGGGAAGATGAGCCTTCCATGAAGATGGATGTGGTAGCCAGCCAGCCAGGGGTCAGGGGCCAAGGGTCAGGGGTCAGGGGAGAACATCCTGGGGCAAGAGTGAGCTCCAGGAGGCAGGAAGAGTCTGGTGTGCGTATTGTGGGAGGAGTGGACAGTGCAGAAGAGGATATTCTCATCACACAGCAAATGTATCAGGCTGTCCTGATCCAGAACATTCTAGATTTACATGGTCTGATATGGCAGCCATGGCCATTTCAGCCAGCATGAGGGTCTCCATGAGGGGAATGATGGAGAGAGAGTTTGGGCTCTGAGCATCTGGAAGCAAGGAGCTGACATCCCCTGAGTTGGAGAGGGGGAGGGCAGAGGAGCGGAGGGGAGGGGAGGGGAGGGATGGTGTCTCTTAGTTGCCCAGATGACGAGCATTACTGGGGGGGATCTGTGGCAGGTTTGTCTTTTGCTGGTTTCTGAGCTGGGTGCTGCTAGCAGCCCTGCTTGCAACTAGGGAAACTGAGTTTTGGAGAAGAGACTTTCTTCAGCCTTCTGTCCCAGAGAGGCTGCTGAAGTGCTGGTGGTTTCATCCTGCTTTTCTCTCCCCATCTGGGTAGTTGTCAAGCCAGAGGTGCTGCAGAAAGCCACCGTGGAGCTGCTGGACCAGGCCGTGTGTGCCAGCCTGTATGGCCACTCACTCACCGACAGGATGTTATGTGCCGGCTACCTGGATGGGAAGGTGGACTCCTGCCAGGTGAGTCCCCTGTTTCTGTCCCATGGACCCCTCTCTGTTTCCTCTCTACAGGGTGAAAAAGTACATAAATTCATCCATCCATCCATCCATCCATCCATCCATTCATTCCTGGGCTTTTGCACTGAGCTGTATCCCCAGCCCTTTTAACTTTTCATTTTGAGGCAAGGTCTCAGTGAGTCACTGAGTTGCCCAGGCTGGGCTGGAACTTTCCATCCTCCTGCCCAGTGGGTGGAGAAATGAAGGAGGAGACTCTGCTGCCTGCACTCAGGTTTCCATGTTGAAAGGGAACCTGGAAAGTAATGAGAGTTTGTGTTTAAGAATGTGAGAGTCAGGCTGGGCATGTGACACATACCTGTCATCCCAGCTCTTCAGGAGGTTGAGGCAGGAGGATCACAAGTTCAAGTTCAGCCTGAGCAATTTAGTGACTTAGTGAGACCTTGTCTCAAAATAAAAAATAAAAAAGGGCTGAGGCTGGAGCGTACTGTTTCCTGAGTTCAATCCCCAGTACTACAAAACAAAAAGAACGGGGCCGGGGATTTAGCTCAGGGTTCCGCCGCCTGCCTTGCAAGCACAAGGACCCAAGTTTGATCCCCGGTACCAAAAAACAAACAAACAAACAAACAAAACCAAAAGAATGTAAGTCCTGGTGAGCTGGGTATGGGGACAAGGCAAAGAACAGCCAGGCAGGATGAGTGAGGGCAGGTCAAGCAGTTTGGCAGAAAAGCTGCAGCTTCCAGTGGGATGGCTGGAAACTTCATCCAACAGCCACACTGTCAGCCCTAAGCAAGTGGTGATATTATCAAAGGTCTACTGGGCCGCTTGCCTCGAAAGCAGAAGGTCCTGAGTTCGATCCCTGGTACAAAAAAAAAAAGTCTACTGGGTTATGGAGAGGAGGGAATGCTGTTTATTTGGGTCAAGATTTAGGCTGCCATCTGTAGAGTTAAAAGCTATGTTAGAGATTCCATAGTCCAAATGTCTTGGTTTCTTTTCCTCCACAGAGGAGGAAACTGAAGTCCTGAGATATGGATTGTCAGCTTACATTTGCTCTTGAGCTCACATGGAGAGAGGTCTCAGGGGTCCTTTGCTGGGCTCTGCTGGGGATCCCCGATCTCTTCTGAGGGTGCCCTCTGTTTCCCAGGGCGATTCGGGAGGCCCTCTGGTCTGTGAGGAGCCCTCGGGCAGGTTCTTCCTGGCAGGCATCGTGAGCTGGGGCATCGGCTGCGCAGAAGCCCAGCGCCCGGGGGTCTATGCCCGGGTCACCAGGCTGCGGGACTGGATCCTGGAGGTCACCGGTGTGGCCAGCTCACTTCTGGCCCCCACTGTGGCTCCTGGCCCTGCCACTGCCAGTACTGCCAAGCTCACCAGCCCCAATACCCCTGCCAAAGCCATGCCTGCCCCCAGCACTGCAGCCCTCGACACTGTCACCGCAGCCAAGACACAAGGTACCTCCCAGGTGGACAGGTGCAAACAGGTGTCCACACCTGTGCAGGGCTGGAGGGATTAATACTGGCTTCCCAGGCACTCGGTGGAGAGATTGGTGATAGATTATTGATGTCTGTCAGGAGGCAATCAGTGAGAGATGGTTGATTGATCACTGATGTCTGTCAGGGGTCATTCAGTGGGAGGGAGTTTGGTTATGGATTATTGATCTCTGTCAGCGAGCACTCAAAGTTTATACTTAAGTGGGTTTTAGTACAATTATAGAATTATGTGGCCATCATCACCAATTCTAGAACATTCTGTCACTCCAAAAGGAAGCGCCCTCCCCATAAGCAGTCACCTGTCCCCTTCCCAGCCTCTGGCACCCACAAGTCCACTTCCTGTCACTGGAGTTGCCTGTCCTGGGCATTTCCAGTCCATGGAGCCCCATGCTATGTGTCCTCTGTGTCTGGCATCTCTCACTGAGCACAGTGTCTCAAGGTCCATCCACACTGTGGCAAGTGTCACAGCTTTGCTCCTTTTCCTGGTTGTGTAATATTCCAGTTTGTGGGTGGACCTTGCTGTGTGTCCACCTGTGGACACTGGGGCTGGGTCCGCTCTTCCCTGCTCTGAGTTGTGGACACCGGTGTAGGTCTAGTTACTTTTCTCTCATTACTGAGGCAAAGTCCCCAACACCCAGAGTTAAAGGGGAAAGGTTTATTTAGCTCACGGTTTGTAGAGGTTTCAGTCCATAGTGGGCTGGCTGTAGGGCAGGGTGGCATGGCGGAGGGCATCATAGAGGAGAAACAGTTTATAGAAGGCAGAAGGCAGCAAGGAGCAAGCAAGTGACAAGTCTCAACAGCAGCTTCTTCCTGTCCCTTTAGGGTTTACCTAGGCTGCCCGCCACGTAGTACTGTCCTTGGAACTGTGCCAAGCCAGTCAGTGGACTGATTAGTAGCCACACACCCTTAATCCCAGCATCACACTCTAGGTCCAGCCACCTCTGAAAAGCCCCACCTATGGCTACCCAAGGCTTTGGGGCATCTAGACACAGTCACAACAGTGTGCATGGCTGTGTGGGTGTGCTTTCCTTTCTCGTGGGCGGGGTGGGGGTATGAATCACACGGTTACTTTTGGTTGACACCCGAGAAGCCCTCAGTGAGTCTCAGTCCTCACCAAAAACCTTGTTCTCTAAATCCACAGCACACTGCTGCACCTGATCCTCACAAGAGGATTGGAGTCAGATTGCTACTGAGAATCTGCCTCAGTTTACCACCTGGGTGTGAAGCTTTGGACAAGGACTCATAAGCAAGACTTTTTTTTTGGGGGGGGGACAGGGTCTCACTATGCAGTTCAGGCTGGCCTTGAACTCACTATGTAGCCTAGGCTGGCCTTGAAGTCATGGTGATCCTCCTGCCTCAGGAGTGCTAGGATTACAGGTGTGCACTAGCACACCTGGCGGGATTTACAATTTTAGTTTGACCTTTTTAACATAAATGTCCGCCTACTGTGTGACCTTTGAAGCTGCTTCCTCTGGAATGGGGTGACTTCAGCCAGCAGGCTGTGCTCTGGTGTCCTTAAGTTGCCTTGGTGCCCAGGACACCGGTTTCTGAGCAGGCAAAGACCCCCTGCCATCTTCTTGTCTCCCTGCAGAGTGCGGGGCCAGGCCTGCCATGGAGAAGCCCATCCGCATCGTGGGTGGGGCCGGGGCCATGTCCGGGGAGGTGCCCTGGCAGGCCAGCCTGAAGGAAGGGACCAGGCACTTCTGCGGAGCCACTGTGGTGGGCGACCGCTGGCTGCTGTCTGCCGCCCACTGCTTCAACCAGTAAGGCCACGAGGGGCTTCCCAGCCACCTTCATCGCCCACCCCTGTCCATCAGATCCTCATGCATTTGGACAGTGCCTGCTATTGAGGGCATGCCAGTGTGCCAGGGCTGCCCTGAGCCACTTCCTGTTCCTAGACCCAGGAGTCTAAGTGATTGTAAGCAAGATAGGATGGTCCTGGCTTTGGAGGACACACAGGGCCTAACCAGGGGATGAGAAGAGGCCCTTTCCCACCACAGTGGACCCTCACTCAGGCAGTATTGATCTGTGACATTTATAAAGCTGCAGAGACCCAGAGTTCTGGGAGGCTGAGGCAGGAGGATTGCACGTTTGAGCCCAGCCTGGGCAACTTAGCGACTTAGTGAAACCCTATCTCAAAATAAAAAATAAAAAGGCCTGGGGATGGAGCCCAGTATGAAGGCCCTGGGTTCAATCCCCAGTACCGCAGTAAATAAGTAAGAGAGGAAGGAAGGTGCAGGGGTCTGTGTTACAAGGAGCAACGTGAGCCCCGGTTCCCTCCCTGGCCCAAGGCCTCCAGCTGGGGACCCTCCCCTGGCTTCCCAGGAGCAGGGATGTGGGCAGTGGCGGGTGGCGGGCTGAGGCCCTGTCTCGGCAGCACACGGGCGGAGCAGGTGCAGGCCCACCTGGGCACCACGTCCCTCCTGGGCATCGGCGGGAGCCCCGTGAAGCTGGGGCTGCGGCAGGTGATGCTCCATCCGCGCTACAACCCGGGCACCCTGGACTTCGACGTGGCTGTGCTGGAGCTGGCCAGGCCCCTGGTCTTCAGCAAGTACATCCAGCCCGTCTGCCTCCCGCTGGCCATCCAGAAGTTCCCGGTGGGCCGCAAGTGCATGATCTCGGGCTGGGGCAACACACAGGAAGGGAATGGTGAGCAGCCCCCACAACTGAAAGGACGGCTTTATTCTGCAGGGCCTGGGCTGGGGAGGAGGGGATGGGCTGCCTTCCCTGAGCCCCAGACCAGCCCCATTGCCCAGGGGTCTCTGTGCTGACCAATCCACAGGCTGTGAAGCATTCGCCTCTTATGCCAGGGGGCCACAGGTGGCCTGCTCCTGTTTGTTTAAATAAAGTTTTATTGGCACATGGCCCACACACATTCATTGACAGATTGTCCATGGCTGCTTTCCTGTCCTGGTTGAGTAGTGGGGAAAGTGACTGTCTGGCTCATAAAACTGAACATATTTATGGAAAGAGCTTGCTGACCCTGCACTACACCATTCAGAGACGCCGAGACGGGTCAGTGGTCCTGTGGAGGGCCCAGAATGGCTTGGTACAGGTTACAGGGACAGAGAGGAGACTTCAGGGTGCTATGCTGGGACTCTGGCATCTGCCTCCTCCTTGTTGAGGCTGCGGGCCTGTGTGCGTGCATCTGCAGGGGAGGGATGGCACCTCCTCTCAGGACGATCAGCACTGAGCTGGCACCATGGTCACGCACTAAGAGCCAGTCAGCTCCCTCCTCTCCTGGCAGCCACCAAGCCTGATGTTCTGCAGCGGGCGTCCGTGGGCATCGTGGACCAGAAAACCTGCAGCGTGTTCTACAACTTCTCACTCACCGACCGCATGCTGTGCGCTGGCTTCCTGGAGGGCGGGGTGGACTCTTGCCAGGTGGGCAACAGTGGGGAGGCGGGCAGGGTGTGGAAACTGGAGGGGGTCCTGCCAGGGGTCTCATCCCCAGGAGACTGAGGTTTGGGGGTGAGCTGAGTGGTGAGCACTTGCCAAGCATGTGCAAGGCCCTGGGCTCCAAGCCCAGCACAAGAAAAGAGGAGAGGAGGGAGGGAGTTGGAGGGAAAAGCTTAGCAATGAATACATAATTTCCACCACTGGGGATGGAACCTAGGGTCTGCATACTGAGCTACATTCCCAGCCCTTTTCAATTTTTATTTTGAGACAGGGTCTCGCTAAGTCGCTAAGTTCCCCAGGCTGGCCTTGCAGTTCTCTTGCCTCAGCCTCCCAGGGCGCTGGGATGACAGGCTTGTTCCGTCACACTCAGCTCTTGTATCATACAACAAAAGCAAGAACGACTGAGGCTGGCTCAGATTGGAGAAGTGGCTGGTGTGGGTCACATAGGCATATCCGAGCCCACAGCCCGGGGCGCCCTCAGAAAGATACCCATAGCCCTTGTCTTGCAGGGCGACTCGGGGGGCCCCCTGGCCTGTGAGGAGAACCCTGGTGTGTTCTACCTGGCGGGGATCGTGAGCTGGGGCATCGGCTGTGCCCAGGCCAAGAAGCCTGGTGTGTACGCGCGCATCACCAGGCTGAAGGGCTGGGTCCTGGGCATCATGTCCTCGGGGACCCTACCCACGTCACCCCCGCCCACCAGGAGGACACCAGCCACCACCGGCCACTCCCCTAGGACAATGACCAGCCTCATGGCCCTGGGAGTCACCACCAGCAGACCCTCCACACCCAGGGCCACCAGCCGGGTGACTGTCCTGCCTGGCACCACCACTCTGTCTGCTGTGGGCGGAACCACCAGAGGACAGACACCACCTCCAGGTGCCCCAGAGACCACCACGCGCTTCCAGCTGCCAGGTGCCATGAGAAATGGGGGACGGGAGGGTGTCAGTGTCCATGTGAGTCTGTGTGGGCTGCAGTAAGAAATTCACAGCCAGGTGGTGAGATGACATTTATTTCTCAGAAGTCTGGAGAGCACAAGTCCAATGTCAGGGAGTTGCAGGGCTGGTTCCTGCTGAGCCCCTCTGGTTGGCTTGCACACGGTGTCCTCTCCCTGTGACCTCACATGGTTGTCCCAGACTGGCCTAGAACTCTTGATTCTCCTGCCTCAGCCTTCCAGGGTGCTGGGATTACAGGTGTGCATGTGCCTCTATGCCTGGCCCTGACTTTTCATAAGGACACCAGAGGCAGGAATGGGTGTGGACATCTGTAACCCCCACACTCTTGGAGGCTGAGGCAGGAGGATTTCAATTTCAAGCCCAGACTGGGTGACTTAACCAGACCGTGTCTCAAAAAATAAAAAGGGCTAGGGATGTGGCTCAGTGTGAAGGCCCTGGGTTCCATTTCCAGTATCCAAAGGAAAAAAAAAAAGAAGACACCAGTCACATTAGATTAGAGCCCAGCCCTGGTCTCCTTTTACTTTGTCTCCTCTTTAAAGGCCATCTCTCCAAACACAGCCACATTCTGAGGTCCTGGTCCTGGGGATTTGGGCTTCAACATACAAACTTGGCAGTGAGGTTGGGGGGCTCCATTCACCCTGTCCCAGGTTGTGATGGATACAGTCACAGGTATTCAGAGGCACCTTGCTTAATGACAAAGAAACGCCTTGTCCAGCTGGTGTGGGGCGAGGGCTCTGGATTGAGGGTTCCCTGTTCAGCCTGTCTGCACACTGCCTCCTGCTGGAGCTGGTCCCCAGGGCCTTGGGCAACTGGTCACGCTGAAGGGATGTGTGAACAGAGTGGAACTTGGCGATCTTTACACAGAGCCTAGGAGATATACTATTATGTTTTAAAATTTTTATTTGGTGGTATTGGGGATTGAACCCAGGGCCTTTGCATTGAGCTCCATCCCCAGCCCCTTTTTATTTTTGATATAAGGTTTTGCTAAGTCACTAAGGTGCCCAGGCTGGGCTCGAATTTCTTCTGCCTCAGCCTCCCAAAGTGCTGGGATGACAGTGATGCACCACTAGGTGCTGGGGTTGGGAGCTACTTTTATTAACTAGAGTGACAGGAATCTGCCCTATTCGGAGGCCACTTTAAAGCCCAAAGCTCCATGGGGCAGAATGAAGAAATGCACGGAGACTGCAGCGCCCCAGAGAGGCAGGGAAGCCCTTAGAGTGGGTGCAGAGCTCAGGGTGCAGGCGGCTGGCATTTTCCCAGGACAGGGGCTGAGGTGTCTGTGGCATAGATGCTCCAAGATCACCTGGTACTGGGCCAGGTCCAGATGGGGCAAGAGGCTCCAGGTTTCCTGGGGCTGGTGGGACTATGGGCAGCCAGACTATCTGGCCCTTTCTATCCTTGAGGGAGGACAGGGGTCTCACTAAGTCAGTAGGTTGTCCTGGCTGGGCTTGAGCTTGTGATCCTCCTGTCTAAGCCTCCCAGAGTGCTGGCAAACAGGTGTGCACTACCACACCCAGCTTGTCTTCACTTTTATTTTTTTGGCCACCTTTGTATTTGCTGAGGCTGAGGCAGGAAGACATTTCCCACACACAGAGGGATTGCTGGTAGGAAAGGCGAGATGGGATATCAGGAGAGTAACAAGTCCCCCCCCCCCCCCCCGCCGTGAGTGGCAGTGAGGCCCCTGAAGCTACCCCTTTGTGCTGCACAGCCGTGTCCTGAGCTTGTGCTTGGTACTGGACTCATGATGGAGGGTGGTCACCCCAAGGGTACCCTATGGGAAAGCTGAATCCTAGAGGAAGGACGCTGGGTTACAAGGACACTGGCATCGAGACCTTCGCAGGGTGCGGACTAAGGTCCTGGGGCAGGAGGGCCGTGCCTACCCCGACCGCACCCCTTCCCGCAGACTGTGGCCTGGCGCCGGCTGTGGCGCTGGCCAGGATCGTGGGCGGCAGCGCTGCGGGCCGCGGCGAGTGGCCATGGCAGGTGAGCCTGTGGCTGCGGCGCCGGGAACACCGCTGCGGGGCCGTGCTGGTGGCAGAGAGGTGGCTGCTATCGGCTGCGCACTGCTTTGATGTGTGAGTCCCCAGGCACGCCTGCAGAGGCCCCAGCCCGAGGAGCGCTTAGTGGGCGGCTGGGAGGAATCGGTTCCCAGGGACACCAGGCTCAGGTGCCACCTGCACCCGTGGTCCCCGTGGCCACCAGGGCCCCTCCCCTCCCAGGACACAAGGCGCAGATGGTGCGGCCTGCAGGTCATTTAGGGTGCCCCCAAGGAAGGGATGAAGCAAGCTTACCACGTTTCTGGTGGGGTGGGCAGGGTGGAGACTCCGGCACCCTGGCCGGGCTGGGGTAGGGTGGAGACCTGGGGCACCAGGTCCCCTGCCGACGCCCGTCCACTTGCAGCTACGGGGACCCGCAGCAGTGGGTCGCCTTCCTGGGCACGCCGTTCCTGAGCGGCGCCGAGGGCCAGCTGGAGCGCGTGGCGAGCATCTACAAGCACCCGTTCTACAACCTCTACACGCTGGACTACGATGTGGCACTGCTCGAGCTGGCCGGGCCCGTACGCCGCAGCCGCCTGGTGCACCCCATCTGCCTGCCTGGCCCCGCACCAAGACCCACGGACGGCGCGCGCTGTGTGATCACCGGCTGGGGCTCTGTGCGCGAGGGAGGTAGGGGCGGGGCTCAGCGTGCCAGGGAGGTGGGCAGGGCTCCGGGCTCACGTCCCCACCGGAGGCTTCGCCACCCGCAGGCTCCATGGCACGACAGCTGCAGAAGGCCGCCGTGCGCCTCCTCAGCGAGCAGACTTGTCGTCGCTTCTACCCGGTGCAGATCAGCAGCCGCATGCTGTGCGCGGGCTTCCCTCAGGGCGGCGTGGACAGCTGCTTGGTGAGCGCGGGTTCCAGGACCCCCACTGGGGAGGAGGGTGTGCGGCAGTGCCCGAAGCCCAGCAGTCGGATGGACTGGGCAGTTCCCTGGCGTTGTGGGAAGTTTTAACCCACAACTGTTTATTGGGCATCCAGTTGCCAGGTCTCACGGCACGGTTCCCAACCCGGGGTCCTGGGACAAGCACTGGACAGGGCTACATAAGGCCCAGTCCACAAATGCCCTAGCACCGAACCCGTTGCCCAGATGGCGAATGTTGAGGCTGCAAGGAAGCACTCACTTGGGTCTCTCCTGGAGCTGCCAGCGACCCAGGGGTTCTCTGAGTTGCATAGTCTTCTCCAGCCCCGGACTACTGGGGTAGGGACTGGCCTGAGTGCCCTTTCTCTTCCCTCCCCGCAGGGCGATGCTGGCGGACCACTGGCCTGCAGGGAGCCTTCTGGCCGCTGGGTGCTAACTGGGGTCACCAGCTGGGGCTATGGCTGCGGCAGGCCCCACTTCCCAGGTGTCTACACTCGGGTGTTGGCCGTGAGAGGCTGGATAAGCCAGCACATCCAGGAGTGACAGCTGCGTGGCTGCCCACACACGACAGCAGGGGCTACTGGACGTGCCATGTGCCCAGAGCAGTCTAGGGTGCAGGCAGGTGGTGGGAATGGGGTGCAGTTTGCCTATTTTCTTACAATAAACAGACCTTTGCCCTTAGCTTGCTGAGTCAACATCTTCCTGTCCCTGGAAGTGGGGGAAGCAGGAAAACAAGCCTCCCAAAGGAGGGGATATTACTTAGTTTTTGGTGCAGCGATGGTGTCATCCCATTTCCAAGCCTCTCCCCACCTTACCCCCCTTTTTCAGTATTGGGGATTGAACCTAGGCCCTTCCCATTTAATTACATCCCTAGTCTTTTAAAATTTTTGACACGGGGTCTCTTGAGATCCTCCTGCCTCAGCCTTCCAGAGTGCTGGGATGATAGGCATGGCTCAAGGCTCCCTCCTGTGTTAGCTGCGCATTGACTGTGATCCAGCAGCCCAGGGGCACCAAGGGGAGAGAATGATGCCCTCAGAGAAGGCTGGGGCCCAAGGATGAGTGACATCTCCTTCCAGAGACCCCCCTCCCTCAGGGAAAGTACACGGGGTTTCTCTGCCCCTGGCTCAGCAATTTATTGATCTACCTTCAAGAGGCCACAGCTAAGGTGGGGTTTCTCCCCCTGACCCTAAGGGCCAAATAAGGGTTCTCAGCCCAGGCCAGAAGCTGACCTCGGCTCACCAGGGGAGAGGGTGGCAACTCCCGGGCCTACAGGAAGTCCACCCAGCTTCCAGGCTTTGGGAAAGGACAGGGGCCCCAAAAGCCAAGTGGCACTGATTGCAGGCGACACAGTCCCAACTGTCCCCTCACAGTCCTGCCATTCTCGTACGTCACGGGCGGGCAGCAGGCACGTGCTAGTGCTCGCCTCACAAAGTACATTTATGGAGCTGGATGGGGGGTTGGGGACGGACCGGGATGGACGGACCCCTGGGAGGCTCCCGCGCCTCCTCGTTACATGTTGGCTCGTTCCCGTTGCAGTCTTGAGTTATAGGCGCGGGACACGGTGTTCCAGGCGTCCATGTATCGGTCCATACACATGGCGATGCATTTCTAGGTGCGGAGAGGGAGGGGATACGCGGCTCAGTTCGAACCCTTGCGCTCGCTGACAGCCAGGTGTGCGCCAGGTCGCGCGGGTTGAGACTGCGCAGGCGCAGAGCCTCCCCGCCCCATCGTCCCTCAGTTTGCACACGCGCAGAAGCCTCGCAGCGACCCTCCGACAACCTGCGCACGCGAGTTTACGCGGCGCCGTTAGCCCACGCACACGCTCCCCCTCGCCGGTCCAGACCCTGTCAAGCCCGCAAACGCGGACCCCTGACAGATCTTACCTGTTCTGAATTGTCCAGAGAGCCCCCTGGTTTCCCAATGCACTTCCGGAAACACTTGTCGGTCATCCTCTGTGAACACACGCGAGACCTCAGCCATGATGCCCGCCTTCGACCGGGGTTAACCCGCTGCCTCACCCCCATTCCAGCGGACCCCGCACCTGCAGCAGCTCCTGCGCGTTGGCCACGGCAATCTGCACCTTAACCTGCTCCATGATAAGCCCCGGGTCCAGTTTCCCGCTGCCGGAGCCTCCGAAATCGGAGCCGAAGCCTCCCTCCATGGCTCCACAAATTCAACCCGACCGCGGGCCAAGCGCGTGGAGCCTGCAGCTCTCAGGTGAGTCGCCCAGAGCACCACGGGAAGCGTAGTCCGGACTCTCACAAGGCCGCGCGCGCCACCCGCAGCTTCGAAGGAAGCCTGGGTTCCCCAGGTACCATGGGAAACGGAGTCCAGAGTATAATACCCACAGGGCCGCGCGGGGCCTCTGGCGCAGGCGCAGCTCGATTTCTCCGTGTAGCCCCGCACTGGGAGCGCCGGGAGTCGGCTGGGAGCCTCTAGGCTCAGCTCCGTGGTCGTAGGTCGCGCACGCGCACGGGAACGGTGCGTTTGTACAGCCTAGGAGACTCGGTTGTTGAGGGCATGTGGGAGCCCCAGGCACTGGATCAGTCCACACGTGCCAGGAACGGTTCCCTTCTTTTGAGACCAAACTAAAGTGTTTATTGGAGTGTTGAACAAACGCTTCCACCCAGCTGGGGATTTAGCTCAGTGGTTCCGCCTCCTGCCTCGGAAGCTCAAGGCCCCTAGTTCGATCCCCAGTCCCAAAAAAAGAATAGAAAAAAAAGCTTCCAAGTTGGGCTTGGTATCCACACCTGTAATCATAATAGGAGGGAAGCTGAGGCAGGAGGATCGCCGAGAGTTCAAGGCCAGTGTGGGCTGCACAGTGAATTCAAGGCTAGCCTGGACTACAAAGTGAGACGCTCTCAACAAAACAAAACACCGCCAAAAAACAAACAAAAAAACCAGTTTCCATTCGCAAAATGTATATTACAAATCATTGAAGGAGGAAAAAACACCCACGTTTGGCATACATCTTAAAATCCCCAAAGCAAGAACCCCAGCCTGGTGCCATTGGAGCCCCGTGTCCCTTGAAAGCTGGGCGTGTGGTGTCCACACAGGAACGTTCCTGACTCAGTTCTTTAGTGTAAACGGAGCCGCAGCAGTGTTGGGGAGGGTAAAGATGAGTTGTGGAAGCAGGTGGCAGAGTCACGACCCGGTCGGACCACAGGCCTGGACTTAGTGTGGACCCGGAGGCCGCTGGACCTCCCCAGGAAGGCCCTGTGAGGCGTAAAGCTAAGCACGACCTCGGGCAGTGCACATGGTTCCTCAGGCCACAGTCCAACGTGCAAATCACCACAAGGGCTGAATGCTTGGTGTCTAGCGACATCAACCTCCAGCACCAGCCGCCCACCTGGCACCCCACCTTCTCCTCAGCAAGGGCACCCAGTGACCCCAAAAGGGCGACAGGTCGGGGTAGAGGAGGTCGCGTCTGAAGCCAGGCAGGCCAAGCGCTCCAGCAGCCCCACTCGGGCAGTGCAGCCTACC